GGCGAGGTCCCCGCCTAACTTCTCCCATGACGGCAGGTTTAAATGCCCTGTGGGTAAAAACCAGGGAGCCACCCTATCTATCTCTGCTATGAATAGTTTTAGTGTTTTTTGACCTACCCTGAGGTCTCTAGCTTTTAAAAGCTTTTTAAGGGCCTTTACCAAGGGCCGCGCCTCTGCGCTCGGTAAATTACCCATTCTCAACCTCTAAGGGCTGTTACTCACCGCGTGTGACTTAAAGAACCCGTCACCTACGCGTGAGCCTGAGGGGAGTCTAAAAGCCCTGTAGGTGCGCGCCACCCAGAGCCCAGGCTTATCCCCAACTCACCTGTCCGGCAGCACCACGCTGGAGCGTTGCACACCACCGCCGTGTCTCGGGGTTGATCAGTCCCCGTGCGGGCCACCAAATGTCGGTGTCACTCCCGGCCTGCAGGAAGAACACGCGACAGATTCTGACGGTGTACAACCTTGCCTTTATTTGTCTCCACGTGGGCCCCGCGAGGCCTCCTCTCTGTCACCAGCCCTTTCTCGCCGGTGGACTTTTTCTATCTCTCTCTGTGCTTCCTCTCGTGGCGGGAGAGGCATTTACTTTTATAGGACAACAGTAGCCAATCAGTTTAAAGCGCGCGATGCGGGCTGACTGGCTAACATCAGCTGTTGTTAGGCAGACTATCTTACAGAGCGGGTTGTTTAAGTCGCCAGCACAATCAGGGGGCAAAAAGCAGGCGCCAACTTGACTCACTCGATGGGAGGGGCAATCTAGCTCAGGCTCCGCTCCCACCCACAGGCCCTACGTCCGCCAAGTAAGGCGACCAGTGTTGGCCGCGGCTCCCAACACCTGTGTTCTCAGGAACTCATGTTTTTCTGTGGAACCATTGGATAACAAATTGCAGCTATTGTAATACTTCATCTCTAACATTTGGCACACAATTCCTAAAGTCAGGAGAATAACCACAATACAACGAACACACTCACAAAGCCTGACATTGATACAATACCATTTTGTAATACACATCCTATATTCAAATTCCCCTAGTTCAGTTCTTCTGTTAACTGTATTCTCCTCCCCTCTTCAGATACTTCATTTTTAAAGTCCAGAATCTAATCCAGAATGAGACGAGTGTACTTAATCCTGTTTCTCAGCCTCTTTAATCAAGGGCTTACTGAAGGTTTGTGATGTTGGTATTGTTGAGGTGTCCTGACTGACTGAGGTCTCCCTTTTTTATATGATTTACTATACAAAATAAATATATTCACCATGGGGAATTGGTGCATGTTTATGTTGCATCTTGACTCACTTTTCTTCCCTTTTTTCTCCCCCTTCTCCCATCTCGCTACTCCAGATCCTTTTCCTATCTCCAAATAGTCTATCTCCCTGTTTTTTTATTAACTATCTTAAATTTTGTTCTTTAAAATATTTATACTTTGAGTTTCTTATGTAAGAGAAACAATGCAATATTTAACCTTCTAGGCCTTATTTTTTTCTTAGCTTTATGATCTCAAGGTGCATCTATGTTCTACATGATTCCAATTCTTTCTTCTTTACAGCAGAGTAATACTCCATTGTGTATATATACACCACACATTTCTATATCCATTCACCTGTTGATGGACATATATGTAGCTTTAGCTATTGTGAGTTGTGCTGCTAACAGTGTAGATATACATGTATCACTGTACTATGATGTCTTTTAACTTTTTTGGAACGATAAAAGAGATACAGTTAGGTGGAATGGAATTTCTAATATTAGTGTTTTGAGGAATTGTCATAGTTTTTGTTTTTTTGGTACCATGGATCAAACTCACAACCTCACGTTTGCCGGGCAGGTACTGTGCCACTGAGCCACATCCCTGCCACACTGATTCCCACAGTGGTTGTACCAGCTCACATTCCAACCTGCAATGTAGGAGGGTTCTTTTTCCACAGCAACCTCATCTGGGCTGGCTGTTTTGCTGAATGTCCACCCAGTTGGGATTTGTCTGATACTCAGGTTAAACATTTTTGGTGTCCGACAAGGGCAATATATCCCTCCTTGGTGCAGAACATCACAAGTTCAGTCGGTTCCTTGTCAATAACTTGGATCTACCATCAGTGCGGTGACCTCCAAACTCTCTTTTGTGACCATGCTTTGGGACAGTACTGTATTCACTGAAGGATTCTGGCTGCGACAAAATGCCTGGTGAGCCAGCAGAAAGTTTACATCCAGTCCTTTCTCATGCAGTTTTTACAGAGGAGGAAATAGAGAGTAAGCCAGGAAACAAGTCATATCAAACCATGGAGTTTGATGCAAGATGTGGACAGAATTCCAAGACTGGAAAGTATCAATTCTAAGGTGACCTTTAAGGTGAGACTTGAAAAGCAAAAGGAAGTGATACATGTACAAGGCAATCAAAGAGCTAAATACCCTGCTCTCAGCTTCCTACTTGTATACACACATCTAAATACCACGCTGCTTCATAAATAAGCACAATCACTACGTGTCCATAAAATTAAAGATGTATTAGAAACTATTTAACATACAATTTCAAAACAGTTAAGCAATGATGATTTAGTAAGTTATTTTAGATACTATATTATATCTATGTAAAAATTTAACTCGACTAAACACTTCCATTCAGGAAAGTTTCCAATTACAGTACATTATAAAACACAGTTCAGTACAACTATAAAGTTGATGTGAAAATACTATAAAATTTGAAGTGCTGGGCATAGTGGCACACTCCTGCAATCCCAGCACTCAGGAGGCTGATACAGGAGGACTATTGCAAGTCTGAGTCCAGGCCGAGATACAAAGTGATTTCAAGATCAGCCTAAACTGCGTAATGAAACTCTCTGAAAATATATATTAAAAACTGTGAGTTATAAAGTAAACAGATTAAAGTTATTCATAGTTTAGCCATCTTATCAAACTATGAAAATTGACAATGCCTGCTAGTTGTTAAGTACACAATACAGCAATTAATTTAGAATCGGTAGTTTTAGGGATACTATTATTTTGAGATGGCATTTATGTTACTGAGACTTAATTGGCAGCTGAGGTAAATTTCACAGGTCATTCTTTATAAAAAGGAGTTAAATTTTGCTGATATATAAGTAAAACAGCTTATTACCTTATACTACTCCAACTCAAAATTGGGGAATATTTTTCCCCAAAGCTTAAAAATGCCATGGAGTTTTATGAGATAAAGCTTTAGAATTCCTGTTTCCTCTAATATTTGTTCTGTCCTTTAATCCTTTGAAAGTGTTCTGCTCAGGTCTTCTTCAGAATAATGTAGCACTTGGGCACAAAGATATATCCTAGGAATCCCACACCAGAGGGCAAACTGGAGAAGAACTCCACAGCTACCATGATCTTCTCTTTGGTCCTAGACACCAGGGTACACCAGCATGCTGGCTGTCAGGAACTTATGTGTCAGGTAGGCTCCCAGCCAGGAACCCCATGGGACACTGCCTAGATTCAGGGAGCCTGGTATCGAGGTATCCCAACACACAGTAGAAGGCAATATTACAGCCCTTGTTGCACTTGATGATCATATGACTGTCATAAATGATGTGATTTTGGATTATTTATGGCACTTTTCCTGCAAGGGGCTGAAGACAACCATTGTGTTTTTTGTTTTTTGTTTGCTTGTTTTAGATAGGGTCTCACTATGTAGTTAAGGCTAACTTTGAACTATGTTCCCCAGGCTGGCCTTAAAATCGAAGAGATTCTCCTGCCTCAGCCTGCTGAGTGCTGGGATTACAGGGGTATGCCATCACATCCAGCTTAATCATTGTTTTTATAATAAAAGTATGTTAGTCCCCACAACAGAACTAGCCCCAGAAGTTGAAAGGCTAACACATTTTATTACATAGCACCTCATTAGAACTCTGGACTTGAATTTTTAAGTCTCCTACACTGTTCCTAGAAAATCACAAGACAATCACTCTCAGAAAATATATATATATATATATATATATATATATGTAATATATAAAAATATAAGTATATAAAATAAATTTACATATATTTGACTGAAAGAGAAGAAATTAACTTATGATTAGGAGATAATAACATAAAACAGATCAGTTCAGTTGGTCACTCCATTCCTAGCCTGTCTCTTCCGACCAGACAATTTTCTCTGGCTCTGTCCACTCCCAAAGACTGGATTTTTACAAAGTGTCAACGTATCTCTTTACAAGTCACTTAATGGTTACAAAGAGAAAACCAGTAATTTCACAATGGAGCCCCCACATTGTTTCCAGTTAAACCAAGTGACTCCCAAAAGGACATTTGAGGAAGGCCCTGAGAGGGAAGGAGCCGGATAAGGAAGGTTCGGGATGAACAGAGAGGTCTTGGGGCTGCAAGATCTGTGGGTGATGAGGCAAGGTCCAGAGGAGGAGGTGGTGGGTTTCCAATTTTGAGGTGGGGGACACTGGGGAGGCCCCGATGGGCTCAGCTAGGCGACAGCAGAGTTAGCACAGGGTCAGTGAGGGATGTCTTGTATAGGTGACTAGCAGTGGAAGGCTGGGGACCAGCTAGGAGGCTGCCGGCTCACAGGAAGCCTCCGGGGCGGCGGCCTGCGACCCGGGTGCCCCGCTTCCGCACCCGCCAGCCCTGGGACACAGGGACTGGGACTGGCGGGCCGGGGGCGGGGCCGGCGCCGCCTGGCGGGTCCCCCCGCGCTGCAGGGGGCGCTGTGGGCCTGGGCGGCCCCAGGCTGGGCGGCGGCCGCTCCTCGTGAGTTCGGCCCCTTTTCCGGGTTTCCTCCGCCTCCTCCTCCTCCTCCTCCTCCTCCTTCTTCGCCGCCGCTGCCGCCGCTGTCCCTTTCCCGGCCGGTGCCTGCCGCGGCCGGTGCTGCCGCCTCCTGGGGCCGCGAGCCGAGCACCGTCCTCCAGTCGCCCCGCCGGCAGCCTCAGGGCCGGGCAGGCTCGGCCGGCGCCCCCCGCGCCCCCTGCCCGCCGTCCGCCCCCGCGGGCCCGGCCTGGCGCGGACGCCCGCCGCCGCGCTCCTCCTCCTGCTCCGGCGCCCCGCGGCCCGCAGCCTCCTCCGCCCGCCGCCCCGCGCCCCCAGCCGCGTCGCCCTCTGCGCCCCGCGGTGCCCCCCGGTCCCGCCCGCCATGCCCGGCCCGGCCGCGGGCAGTAGGGCCCGGGTCTACGCCGAGGTGAACAGCCTGAGGAGCCGCGAGTACTGGGACTACGAGTCTCACGTCCCGAGCTGGGGGTAAAGCCGCCCCCCGCGATCGGCCTCCCTCGGCGGCCGGCGCCTCTTCGGGTCTTTAGTGGGAGGCAGAGGCCCCTCTCGCACATGTTCTCGTCTTCCTCTTCCTTACTACCCCTGCTGGGTCCCTGAACCTGCTTTATACATTCCTCTCTCAAGGAATGCTTTTTAAAAATAGGGGCAGAAGTGTCGAGACCAGGGGCCAGAGCATGGGAGAAGTGAGGGAGCAGCCCTTCCTCACACTTTTGGGTTTCCCTTGAGATGGGAGTCAACAGCTGTCTTGAGCTATTGAAATGCTCTGCCTTTTTAGTTTTGGGGGAAGAGACGGGGTGGGAGGAAATTTTTAAAGAGGTCCAGATTCTTGAAGCATGCACTGCTCCCGTCATGGTGTGAGACAGGCAGGTGATGGGTTGCCTTTGCTGGCCTTCCCTAGATTGGCTCTGTGTGCTGCTTCCTGCCCCATCTCTCCAAGTGTGGAAGGATCAATTAGGTTAGGAGTTCTGCAGAGTGAAGAGAGCCAAGTTTGTGTTGTGGCTTTCGTTTAAGAAATGAGTCGTGACATGATGTATGTAGACGCTACCAAATGTTGATTAGTGGAAGTGGCTGGAGGAGTTGTGTAGTGGGCATAGGTTTGGTAATCCCAAATCCTGGCATTTATGTGTGTTTTTCCTTTCACAGTAATCAAGATGATTACCAACTGGTTCGAAAACTTGGTCGCGGAAAATATAGTGAAGTATTTGAGGCCATTAACATTACTAACAACGAAAGAGTGGTTGTAAAAATTCTCAAGGTGAGTGTCCTATGAGTCCTATATAACATATTTATCCGTGAGTTAAAAGGACGTTAGCTACCCAGTTGCTTTCTAAAATGAACAGTGTAAGCTCTCATTTTATTTATCTGCTGTCTAGTGTCTCTTCCATTCCATTTTCCCATAAACTTTTGAGAAACCATGAAAACTGGCCTCAAGTGATACTGTGATAGTTCAGGAGCTTCCTTGTTCTAAAGTGTAAATTACAGGCTCCCAAAACAAAAGTTGTAAAAGGGTTTCATTTGTTACAGAATAAATAGGTGTTCAGAAGAAAGAAAAGCCTTTTAATGGAAATTCTGTCATTTCACGGTTCCTTGAGCGGTGTTACTTACCGTGCTCAGAGTTATTCAAGGAAGAACATTGTAGTACATGGCTTCAAGGGAAACCCTCATTGGATAATCCTGTATATCTTCAGCAGTAAGGTTTCTGGTAGATGTAGTGAGCCATCAGTACCAAAAAGCCTTTTTGGGAATCGGTGTTGCTAGTTAATAAAAGTGAAGCAATGGAAGGGAACATTTCTAATCATTAAAATAATAATTGAACAAAATTGTCTTTAATATCTAGCTTAGTCTTGTTTGATATGATATGCCTTTTGTTATCTTTCCAATGAAGACATGATCCTAATGAGCATTAAAAAACTGGGTAAATTTTTCTTTAGATAACTGAATGTGCAAGTTTAATAATGCTTTATAGGATATATTAAAACGTAATTCTTAGAATTCTGTGCACAGTGCCCATTATTCCCACATCATTTCACATGTGTACATATCATTTAGTGAAAGAATATTAGTGATAGGTAAGTAGTTTTAAGTGTATGTGAATTCCATTGTGGCAGAGATACTATTGAATAAGAGCACTAGATTGAAAAACTGTTCTTGTGTGTGGGGGGCTGCTGGGTAGGTAGTCCTTGTTTAAAGTGCATGCTGTAGATCATATTTCTTGAGAAAGGACCAATACCGTCCATCACTCAGTACCATTCTAGCCTAATGACGAAGGAGCAGAATTAGAGTAAAAAAAGATACACAGAATTATCTGTCAGAAAGACTGGAAATGAAAAGCAAAGAGTTGATGTTGAAGATAACAGAGTTTGACCACTCTCTTCCCTAAATATGAAATACAAGATACCAGACTGTGTCGTTTTTTTAAGCAAAAATATTTAAAGAAATGTTTCCTTCAAGGAAGTCAAGTAAGGAAACAATACAATTCCTTTATGCACATAAGCATAAACGCTTAGTATAAGCTGCTTCAGATCTTTCTCAGTGCACAAAACAAATGGAAGTTGGGAATATCCACATTCTACTGGTGTAGACTCAAAGGAATGAATTGCTAACTCTAAAGCAGTTCCAGGAAGATGTCAACTTTTATGCAGTGGCAGCATTTTTGGGATAAGTGTGCAATTTCCTGTGGACTTTTTTATGAAAGGAACAGGATTCAGGTGTGTGTATTGGTACCCGTGTACACTGGTTGTGGTGTTACACACCTGTAATCTCAGCACTGGAGAGGCTGAAGCAGGAGGATCACTATTGAGTTCCAGGCCAACCTGAGCTACAAAGTGGGGCTAAGGCCAGCCTGCACTGCACAACAAAACTGTCTCCAAAAAAAAAAACAGAGAGAAATAAAAAACCGTGTTCTCATTAGGAGAGCATGGCATTGCTTTTTAGTCATCCTTATAAAGAACTTCATAGGGTCAGTGACTAGACAGTTTTTCCATCCACTAAAGGTTCGCTGAGTATGGTTAAGAAGCCCAGAATGGAAGGATGGGTGATTTTTTTCAAATGGGAGACCTAGACACAAAGAAACTTACTTGGCATCATTACTTTGAAGCACCCCTTGGCCAGAACTCTTCTTATTTCTTTGAGTGTCTTCCTGCTTATTTTAGCATCAGATGATAGGATCTCAGTGTAGAGCACAGAATAAGTTCCAGTGTTCTGGAATGAGACTAGGGAGGCCCCTTTAATGCTCTAGGTAATGAAGTGTTCCTTGTTTTTTTTTGACATGATTTCTATTCACAGTGCAGTCTGAACCACTGTTTTCACTGGTTAAAAAAACAAACCGTACTCCTTTATGTCGTTTTTCAAAGGCTTGTGATATTTCTGTCCAGATTTTATTCCTATTTTTAAAAACGGTATAAGAAATCACTGATGGTATTATAATTTCTTTTGGAAAAAGGAGAGAGTCAGGGTTTCTCTTCGCTTGGTATGGTGATGCATGCCTGTAATCCCAGCACTCAGCAGGCTGAGGCAAGAGGATCACTGTGAATTCAAGGCCAGCCTAGGCTACATAGGGAGACCCTGTCCCAAAAATAAAAAATTATGCTCTTCAAATAAGTTGAAGTTGTGACTGTCATCTGGGTAGGTAATATTTGGTCATAGGAAATTAAGTCCTTAGCAGTTTTAGTTACTCAGTTTGGAGGACTCTAGAAAAAGCTGCATTTTCATGTTAAGTTTACTGTATTTCAACTAGAACTTTATGTAAATGACCAAGCTAAAGAGTGTATTCCTGGAGGACAGGGTCTCCTCTTTTTCTGTAAGTGACTTTTGTGTCTTTTCAAATTTGTGAGAGTGATCAGTTGTCAAATGACTGTGAGTTTTTTAAATTTGTATCAAAGATTTCTGAGTACTTTGTTGATCAAAGCATATTGGGGGCTGTTGAAAAGTTTTGTTTTGTTTTGTTTTTTCTTTTTCCTTTTTATCGGTACTGGGGATCAAACTCACGACTGCCTGCTTGCAAGGCAGGGGCTTATGCCGCTGAGCTAAATCCCCAGCCCTAAAGTTTTATGAATATTATAAACAGACAAAAAATTTTATTGCCTGTCCTCATGCAATATTCTAAGGCTAAGCCCTTAAAACTTCCCAATCATTAGAAAGGTTCTTTTTTGACAAATTTTTTTGAAGAGAAAAGAGAAAAAGAAGAAGAGTAAACAGTAAGGGTTTATATAGCAGGTCAGAAAACTATTTTGTGTCAAAAGTTTCATCTTTTTATTCTGAAATACCAGTTCCTCAAATTCCTTTGTAGCACCTCTTATAAAGGTGTACACAGAAATAAAAGCATTTGGCCATTTTGGACAACTTTTAGCATTTTATGAGCATTGCCTGTATAACTGAGTTTCAGCACTTCTTGGGGCTATATAGATCTTTCAGATTAAACTGCTAATTCCTAAGGAGAAGTCAAGAGTGATGCTGATTTAAAAACAAACGTACAACATTTTGAACCAATGCTGCAGTGATTTGGAAATTTTCTCTTAAGGTTTCCTGTTAATGGTTGTTTTATAAAGACTTTGGCTATCCATTTTCTCCCCAGAAATTCTTTAATTTAAAGAATAGTTAGCATATGTATAGTTTGTTTTAAGTGTTACATTGTTAGGAGACAGCATTAAAGGTGAATTAGTTTTGATTGCACATCCTGCCGGTAACATCATAGTGAGCTAGTAATCTTCATGTTATATCAAAATGATGTTTTCTCCACACTGATAGTTGTTTTCTCCTTGATGTCTGCTTTTTCTGATGGTAGCTTTTTTTACCCTTCACTTGGGCTTTGTATATCTGAAGCAGCCCATTAGTGGTTGCTAAATTTTTCGAATTCTAGTTTTCACAATTGTGTAGTGGTATAAGAATAGTTAAAACAGTATTGCAGTTTATCAGGCAGCTTTTTATTTTGTTATTTAAAAAATCAATAAAAGTGATTTGATCTTATTTGTACCACCAGTGATATAAGCCACCTAATAGGACAGTCATGCTTATACCACTGGTGGTTCATGCTAGCAGGAGCATATTAGAGTTGTAACGTAAATGTTAAAATGTAAAAGTTAACTGTGTGAACTAGTTAATGCTATTGTTCATATTGAGGTTGTGGGATCAAAGATGGAGAGTGTAGTTAGTTAACCTTTGTCAAACAGAGTCACAATGTAGGAGCTTAGAATCCCTTAGATCCCAACTGTCTGTTACAGATAAACCAGAACCCAGAAAAAGGATGTGATTTGTTCAGGATTCCATAATGAGTAGAGGTACTAAGTATAGCTGTTTCTGTACACATCATGGAGTCTGGACTGGTATGAGGGACACTGGATATTTGACATCTTGATGTCTGGAACTGTGGTGGGAAGGCTGAAGAAAATGTACTACAAATCAAATAAATTTATTTTGAATGATTTTTGGAGTTACCCTTCTGAAAGGAAATATTTGACTTTGGTAGATTGTTAGTTGAAGTATGGAATAGATGCTCACCCAGAGTTGTTTGTTTTTGTTTTGTCTTTTTGAGACAGGGTCTCACTATACAGTTCAGGCTGAGCTCACTCATTTTGTAACCCACGCTGGTTTCAAACTCACAGTGATCCTCCTGCCTCCACCTCCCAAGTGTTGGCATTTACAGGTGTGTGCCACCACACCTGGGTAACCTAGAGTGTTTTAGACATTGTGAGATTAGTATCCACAGCAACATGTTCAGTGCCTAAGGAGAATGCTGCTTTACTCTCTTGGTTTAAAGCCACAGTGAGCAGTGTTTTATATCTAAATTGTTTTTCAGATCTCGTCCTGATCATTGTCAGATTGGGGGTGTATAGTTTTATCACTTTACTATATTAAAGCTTTTTGAAAGTAAACCATGTTTGAAAAGAATGTCTTGCTACAGAGTACCTGTTACTCTAAAATATGATTAGTGCTTGGCACTGAGAGAGCCATACAGAATAATTGCAGTAACAATATTAAAGGGGGAATAGGTGAATGGTTTTTGAGGCAGAGCTAATACTGGAAGAGTTGCAATATTCACGTGATGAGATTAGAAAGATGTCTTTTTTGTGGCTGTCTTTTGTTTTACTTAGCAACATGTCCACAAGTTCATCTAAGTGGCATCATATGTCAGAATTCCCTTTTTAAATCTAAATAATATTCCATTGTTTATACATGCTGCATTTTGTTTTTTCATTCATCCGTCAGCGGATATGGTTTCCTTCCACGTTTTAGCTTTTGTATATAATGCTGCTTTGA